GATTTTTCTCTCTTTTTTTTTTTTACTTTTTAGGAATTCAGCACCTCAGCCAGCGTAAATTTAATTTCAGCTTGGCATTCATAAAAGTATCAAAAGTTTAGCTCGAAGCTAAATGGAGCAACATGCTACTGGCATAATGAAAGAAGAGCAAGAGTTTTGAAGGACCTGAGGATGTGTCAGTGTTTTTCTAATCAGAAAACATTTGTAAATTATTATTTTTAATTAAAAAAAAATCTGTCTCTTCAAAGAGTTGAATATTTGGACAAATGCGTAGTTTGCAAAATAGTTAAATTGCAAATAAGTACAGAGAAATACAAACCAGGGAATCAACAGAGTGAATGCTGAATCAGCATTTACACAATAAAACAAAGTACAAAAGAAAATGTATATGTATATAACAGCCAACACTATACGTAATAGTACCTCAACTGACAGTTTTGATGCCATGATTTGCTGTTGAAGCTGCGTGAACTCACACTTTTTTTTTTCTTGTTAACACTTTTCAATATAAATCAATAATGCATGCTTGCTGGCAGGCTCAGCAGTGCTTAGCAGTGATTTCACAGACTGGTACACCCAGGAGTGGCCAGGCAGCTGGGAAGCAATTTTCCTACATGGCTGATGATGGGTCCCCAGTGAAGCAGCAGCAGGAAACCAGCGGGGCTCGGTCCAGCTGTGTGTGGCAGTTTGAAGAGACGAGGTGACTAGAATACAAACAGGACATGAATAAAACCCGCTAACGTAGGATTCCATCAAACTAAGATCAATGTTGGTTTTAATGTTTCCACAAAAGTATAAGACTGTTATTATTGCGTTCCAGTGAAAGAGACAGTGCAGGCAACAATGTTTTGCATTGGTCTCTGTGTGGAAGTTAGCGATCAATTTGATTATCTTTCCAAAGGCTCTTTCAGTCTATGGTCATTTAATTTCACCAATATTAAGTTAGGTATGGTAGCTGTGACAGTCATCCTTACCGTTATTTTCCCCCTTTCCTCTTATGGAGAAACATCCACATTTATCCTCCTCTAACTCCTGGCTTAGTGGGCTTTTATTACTGTTATTTTGGGACACTTTTTTTCTCCACAAGAAAAAATGTAGGAGGTGCTTTTGCTCCTCAGAAACAAGAGCTATAGGGGATTTGAAGAACCTACACAATAACCAGCCTTATTAACCAGAGAAGGTTTATGCTTAACATCATTTTTATTTGTCTTTGTTTTGTGATTAAAAGCTGGATCTCATGTCATGTAATGCTCAGTGTGTGGGCTCAGTGTTACACTGTTGGGATGAGTCACAGTTAGCTAACACAGCTTCTTTAAGGGTTTATTCATGGTGGGGAATCCATAGGTTTTGGTCCAGTGATAAATGTGAGGGAGTGGCTCAGTGTGATTTATTTTAAGATGATGTGTTTATTTTATTCACCTCATACCTCAGTCTTTGACTTCCTATTTCTAACTATGAGCTTAAATGTTCTTTGTTGAAACTGTTCAAAGTGAGAATGCCAAAAGCCCTGAACACATCTTAGAAACAAAGTTCTAACTGTGAGATGCTTAAATATTAAAGAAACAGAAAACCATCAGTTATCCATCCATCCATCCATCCATTTTCTTCCGCCTATCC